GTGAAGTGGTGCCAAAAGGGACAGATTTGGACAGATTTAGCAGTAGGATGTTATTATTGTGTCCAATAAGTAAGTAATGTAATAAGACTTTTTAAAATGTCCTGAATTCATAAGAAAAGCTTGTGTTCAGGCAGTGGGAAAAGGGCTGAGAAGTATTCCTCCCAGTGAAATTGCATTTAAACTTATATAACTAATTGTGAATCTAAAACTGACAAAACCTAGTTCAGATTTCTAGTCAAAAATATTAACCATTTTTCAGAGTGTCTTGGCTGTTTACTATTCACAACTGTTCCCTAAAATCTGAATCTTTACAAATTATTTTTTTATTTTGTTTTAGAAAAGATTTACATTTCTTCACCTTTTGTAATAACAGTTGCTAGGCTTGCTGAACCAGAAAACATAGCAGTGTTGCCATGGCTAGCTACATAAAGTAAAGACCTCAGTCACAGGTGAGATTTTCAAGCTGTCCAGTTTCAAGTACATAGAAGTTTAGGTTCAAAAATTAAGGGCTAGTGAAAAGAGTGGAAAAAGACAAAAAGAAATAGTGTCGTGTTCCATTTTTGAGCCGTAGACACAGTTATTAGGAAACACTGGATTTTGACATCAATATAGCTGCAAAGTATCCTCTGATGCTAAGGAGTTATTACTGCAGCTCTGTGAACTCGCCCCTGAATAGGCACAGCTCTGTTTGAAACAACATGCCCTGAGATTTACAGCTACCAGTGAGGATGCTCGCAGTCCCGACACCCACAATCACTGTTCAAGATAGCTAACTTTCCAGGAATCTGAATAAGTACCACTGTTGAATACTACTTCTACTATTTGTCTAATTATGATGCTTGAAAAAGCCACCATAGACTGGCTGGAACAACAGCAGAAATAGTGCAGCTGCTATTGAGAGGAAGACCTGTAGAAATCTAGTGGAGATTTTCATGATACTGTTTCTGACTTATTTACAGGCTGAGACAATGTCATTTAGGAAAAAGACCACTAAGCTGAAGGCCTTCAGATGTCTATTTTTTTTTTTTTCATTTTTCTAGATGTAAGCTCAAGCTTTCCTTTTGTACCCTCTTGCCAAAAGGAAAATTTCCCAAGACCTCGAATATAAGCTGCTGGGGGCAGGGAGGCACGGGTCAGGTCATGGATATCTGCCCACTCTGAGTTAAACTTCCTATTGGAGGAAATGACTTAAAGTATAAAAACATATGTGCAGAGGCAACAATGAAACTTCAGAACAAAAAGAGGTGACAAAAGGATTATTTTCCCCTCTTCCTCAGCACTATCTCCAGCTTTATGATTGAGTTTCCATTTTTAACTCGCTTTTCTTCCTAATTTCTCAATCCTCTTTTTTCTTTTCTTTTGGCATGGGGTCTTGGAATAGAACTGACTGAATAATGGCAATGTCAGGTAGAAAAAAGAGGCTCCTTTGTGTTTTGCAGCATCCACAGTATCCCAGGGAATAATGCAACAACATTTGTCATCAACAGTTTAGTACTTCCACCTCCCTTCCTCACCCCTTTTCGCTATTAGGAATTATCTGAAACTCTGTTTTGTACAGAGTAACCAAATTCTTTGCTGAGATGAGCCATATTTTTTCTAGAAATATCTCCACAAATGAGAACACCTAAGCAAGCCAAATCCATACCTGTCAAGGTCCCTTCTTGAACCAGGTTTTATATTGTTGCACAACAATAAATGCAAAGCAAAAGTCAACCCAATCAGACAAAAAAAAAAAAAAAAAAAAGCTGCAAAGGACCTTTTCTAAACACAATCTTGTGAAATTGTTTGACCTTGATCTCTCAACTAAATCCACTTCTTAGGAAAGTTCTAACAGCAATATGACAGATTACGTTCTATTAAATTTGAATTTATTAATTTTTATAACATATAACAATTATTGACTAATATTAAGGATTATAAGAGATTTTTAAAAACTGCTACATAAATGCCGAACGATGCTTTCTCTAGAGTTACCTTTGCTTTTGGTAACTGACTTCTAACTCAATAAACATGCATGTCCCCATCAGACAGACTTTCAGCAGCCTACATGAGGTCAAGAACTTACTAAGAAAGTTGTCGGTAAAACTAGAGATGGTTCTTGACTCCAAAATATGTGATCAATATTTTTCACTAAAACGTCTACAGTTACTGCACTAAAATGATGACATTGTAAATACATAACTTTTTGCTTAGACAAATATTAATTGCTACATTTATTATCCCCTCTCCCCAGGGACCGAATATTTGTGGGATACCAGATAATCCATGGGTATTTTTTTTTCCCAAGAAGTTGGTACTAACACTAAAGAAAGGTTTAGGAAACACTACCCACAGACAAACTATTGGTTTCAATTGAATTTCTTGGACTCTGAGATGTCACCAGGAGCACAGGCTAAAAGACACTGCAAAATTATACTAATAAGAGGTTTGGAAAGGTAGAAAATCTACTGCAATACTGGAAAGCTATCATTTTCTGTAAATGGTAGTAATTCTGTTTTCCTCTATTCAAGTACTTCTTTGAGGTATATAGTCTCAAGGACAAAATATTTATAAATTTTATTCATATTTATAAAATCACTTTTACAAATGACTTCCATAAAGTCATTTTTTTATGAATTTAAAAGGTCATGTCTTGGTTCATAGACAATATCTATAGCATTTGGCTGAGACTTCTGACAACCCTCTGGAGATGCTCAAAATCTGCATCTTTAGTCTCTCGACAATTTAAAATATCTAGTTTTATGATAGCCATATGCCCTCAAATCAGAAGGAATGCCTTCATTATCAAAAGGTTACTCACATATGAGGAGAACAGATATTACTGTGTAGTTTCGAAACTCAGAACCACTTGATGACATGTAGTTATATAAAGAATAAGAGAAAACACACCCAACAGTTATTCTCATCACCATTTTCCTGGGGCAGTCACAATTCTGAAAAATTTTCATGACAGCTCCACTTCCCGTCATATTGCAAGCCCTGTGAACCATCAGGAAGATGGTTTATAGAAGTAAGACAATGTCAAACATATTACAGCATTAATATACGCCGGCAGTCCCGAGATCCTAACAAACAAAACTCAAAACTGTAACCGGTTGGAAGTTTTCCATCAGAAAGGTTCTCTGATGAAAAACACAGTATTGCAAAACCAAAATATTTTACCCACTTTTTTACTCCAGATTTTCTGAGTTTTCTGTCATAAAGCCTGACACAGAATTTAGAGTTGCCTAGTTTGATTTGATTCTGACTACTATAGTTTGCAGAAATGAATTGAAATGTTAATTTTCAAATATATTTCCTACCGCATTATCTTGCCTCTCAGGAAGAGTGGATCTGAGGCCTGGATCCCTGTACAAATCCCCTTCTCTCCTCTAAGCAGGACTTAAAAGTTTCACCAGAATCAGGTCACTAACCTAAATTAGGATACTTTTTGACTTAGAAAAGCCTTAAAGTTTTATCTAGATATGAAATAGTGAAACAAAATGTTTTATCGTTTGAAAACAATTTTTGAATTATTTAATTCCCTTAACATTTTTTATAAGTTTAACTTTTTATCCGTATGTGGATCTGAAACAAATGTTGAAATACAATCATTCGCTACAGAACCACGGATATTTACTTATTTTCAATAATATGCTTTGATTAAATTATTCTAAAAAGTAAGAAATAAGTAATTTAGAAACAAAACACATTCAGCTGCAAAGGATATTGTCCAGTTTTAATAAATACACATCTTTAGAACAGAAATCTATGATGTAAAAATTTAAGCTGTTGGATAAGGATAACGTCAGGCTAATTAGCTATCCTTTCAAGGCTGTTGTTTCTATTGGTATAATCTGACAAAAATTTTCAGTACCTGGTTTTTATTACCTTGAGGGTCTGATGCTGTGAAATCAATATGAGTTTGTTACTGACTTCAGTGAGGCCAGAGTTTCAGTTTTTGTTTTCACTAAACCTGTGTTTTAGTCACTCTAGATGTGAAAAAAAACATTGCACAAAGACATAACATTTATACATATAAATGGACATGTGTATACACAACACACAAAAAAATATAGTACATGCTATATAAAAAAAGAACAAAGGTCTGTAAAACACTTGAAGAGAACATCCCCTTCCTTAACAATAAGCACATAAATATAACATAACGATAATAACTGTAACAGTGCTACAATTCCTTGTACATTGCTCTCATAAGGCAGGTCTTACTTTTCCTCATCTGATTTCTCATTCAAATTTCCAAACGTCTTTGTGGACGCCCATTCTGTGACCTGATGGTCATTCTGTGAGTTGTACCACGTCTCTGAATACTGCACGATCTTGTAGCCAAAGGGAAGGAACCAAAAGGTCAAGTACTGCTCCTAACTAAACCTGCTCAGAGGGAACATGGCTCTTAAACCCAGAAAGGATCTAGACTACTCCAGGGCATGAAACTGTGGACAAAGCACCCAACAGCTTTGGTCTTTTCTCAGTGCAACAGAAGCTTGCTCAGAGTAAGCCTTCAAATGTGAATCTGTCTATCAATACAACACTTTGAACTGATTAACTGATTAACTAATTAGCTAATTAAACTGACCTGAATCTTTCCAATGTTCTCATCTTTTTGGAATTTAGAGAAAACAACAATATAGCATGTGATTATACAGATTTGAAATTCTACACATCTCAGACAAGTGTTAATGTACATGAGTTTGAAATCATGCCCCATTTAACATTCACAATTTCACAGCTGACCAAACTCTCCTCATAAAATATTTCCACAGCCTCTTGTAGTCACCTCACAGAAATCTACAACAACATTTTCCTTCTATTGAAGAATTATTAATTCAGCTAGGGAACCCTAAAGACAACTATCATATCTGTGCCTACAACTACATAATAACTTCCTACCTTTAAACCAGTAGTTTTGGAAGATTTATCATTAACAAATATATGCACACATTTGAAATGAAAAGAGTTTCAGCTCATATACCATAAAAACATAATAAGCTGTGTCCTACCTATGGTGGTAATAACAGTGCCAGCAAAGAAGAAGGAACTTCCCAAGTCCCAGTGACTGATCTGAGTAGATGTGTTTCCTAAAGGTATGATTCCTGCATTTATTGCTGCCACTACTTGCTGCAAGTTCAAAAAGATTTTTGTCAATATTCATGAAGCAATGATATAAATATACATAAATATACAGTAAACAGATGAAATCACTTATTAAATTCAAGCAATAAACCAGAAAAGAACCAATGTTGGTCTATTCAAGTTTTATCATTCAGTCAGACTAGAATTTAACCTTCAAAATATACCCTAAGCACAGAGGACTACTTCAGCAAGCTGTAGAGCTGTAAACTCTAGATCACTAAGGAAAATGTAAAACCTACAAAGTCAGTAACAAACACATCTTACCTGGACGACAAACAACTATTTTTAACGTTGTAACTATTTTGTTGAGCAGAAATATGCATTAGACAAAGTTTTAAAATTAGAGTTTCCCAAAATATTGCTCATTTTAGCTCTATTGAGTTAGGCAAGTACATGTACTTTTTAAAATACAGTCATTTTAAAACTACAGGAAAAAATGTCCATGCATGATTTTGGATCAAATGAACCCCAATTAATTAAAATATTTTTAGAGAGTAGACAATTCAATAATTAAAGATTTACAATTACACTAATGGTTAAGAAACTTTCACTATTTTAATAACAAATACAGAGTTAATATCAAATACATATGCATGTAAGTGTACCTCTAAGTTTACAAAACTATATACTTTGCAGTTCTTGAACCCTTCAGTTCTACCAAATAAAATGAACACAGAAGACATTTGTGACTTTTTTATAGTCTTGGAAATTTTGGAACGTTTCCTATTTCAGCTGTATCACTTGCTGCAAATTACTATGGCAAGACTATTTCTGTGTAGTTATCTCCATTGCAGATATATACCAGCATTTGCATTAACTGCTACTGCTCAAGAAAAGAGTATTATTTTTAAATTTGCAATAAATACTTTAAGGAATGTAAATCATAACTTCATTCCGAAACTTTAAAGCAGAAGTTATTTCATAATCATGATCATTATAATGATAATTAGTGTTTAAGAAAAGAGCAACAGAGGAAGCAATACTGCAATGCTAAAATGAACATTTTAACTAATAGCTTTCTGCTTGGCAAAGTTGTCCAACAATGATTATGCAGATAAAGATATGCAGGAATAGCGTAGTCCAGAATGGTTCTCTGTGTGGGCAGTCTGTTTCAGAGTAGCAGTGTTTCACAAGAGCAATGATTTTTGTAATTACAAAATACGGTGTTGATTTGAAAACGAAACAATTTTTATTTCCAAATAGCGTCCACGGAAGTCAGTTGATCTGGTAGAAATGACAGAAATAGCAGTGCTGGAATAACTAGGCCATCAGTTTTTCCTTATTAGATCTTAACTTAAATGCACCATTTTCAGTTTGCCATTTTCAAAGCTCAGATGCACAAAGTAGCCACTTTAAAGTCCGCAGCTACATCGCTGCAGCCACAGAGGTCTTTGCTGCTGCACTTAAACCATTTACAACACCCCGAGTTGCCAACATAAAGCCAGCTTGGGTATCTTTATGCAGATTTTACAGTCTTATGTTCTATACCTTTAACTGTTTTAATTTCTGCTTGTTTCAAAATATCAGAAAAGCAGACATCAAAGATCTGAAATTTTCAATCCTGCTGGGGAAGAGCAAGGGCAAGGGAAGGGGAACAGAGCTTAACTGAGCTTCTGATGTGAGGAACAACACTTTTTCTGCATTTGTACATTCTGTGCCGCTTGGCAACAGTGAGTGCAGCTGTGCTGATACGGACAACTGTGGACATCAGTGTAGGAAGGAACCCATCAGACTAAGCAGCATGTGAAGATCACTCCTTGTACTAATTTTATCATTTACACACTACAGATATTCCTTTGGCTTGCAAAATGTAACATGCTGCATTGTAAAGAGTACTGAATACATTTTGAGTATTGTTTCATTTCAGTGGGCAAAGAATTTTCATCAGAAGTCCTTGTACCTGCAAATGGGAACACGCTCCCTAGTGAGAACATCATATGGTAAAGCATCGGATCAATATAATTTTATAGAACCATTTATGTTTTATTATACTTTATTGTCCTGCATGAATGCACTATACAGAGCAACGCACCTGTTTAGGCAGTCTAACAAGACCAATTTTTATACAGATCCAGATGTAAAATGTTTTCAGAGCTTTATATCATCACTACGAATTTTTCAAGCCATGCTACCTCAATCTCTTTTATATGAAGGGTGTGTTAATTTAAACTGTTCAAAGATCCATTACAGCTATGCATTTCATAACTACAGTACACTGTAACTTCAGACCTTGAGAAAAAAGATGCAACTTAACCTAAAACTGCTGTGTTGGGTCAGACCAACCAAAATGCAGCAGATGGCTACAAAAGACAATTAGCTGTTATTATGATGTCTCTGATAGCAACCAGCAGCTAATTAGAAAAGAATACGTATCAGGGCAAGTATAAAAGTGATGCCTTCTCTTCACACACCCTCCTAGTGTCTGACAGTCACAGGTTTAGGGACTTTCTGAGTGGGAGGTTGCATCTGCACCATGGTGCTAATATTGTTTTTGGTGGATCATTTTACCACGAATTTGTCTAATTACTTTTGAAGCTTACTTGTATTTTAGGACCCAAATCATTCTGCTGCAACGAATTCTCCAATTTAATTGGAGATAATGTGAAAAAGCACTTCTTTTTTGAGCTTTTTGTGTCCTTCATGGTAATTTTATAAAGTCCTTTTCTTATGGGAAACCTTTGAATAGTCATTCCTTATTCATGTACTCCAAGAGATTCATGATCCCATCAGCTCTCTCACTTCCAAACTAAAGAGACTTATTTAATAAATAATAAATATATTTATCTATTTCAGTAAATCTATTGAATATTGTACATAAAAAATTCTTTATTGCCAACATTTCTTGTTGACCTTCTTTGTACCTTTACTGATTTTGATACATCTTTATTTTAAACACAGTTTTAGTCATAAATGGCCAGATGATCTCTTCTTCATCATCTGGTTATCAAACTTCCAAACGCGCACTCGCATGCTTTCTCCTGTGCCATCTCATGCTTGGGAGCCTGTGCCATCCCGTGCTTGGGAGGAGCTGCCCTTAAATATCAGCAAAGCTACCACATTATATTACTTTAGGTTCTTCTCTAAGAGTCTCCTCTACCAACATGGACAAGAGGCCTGAAAGAGGTGAGGTTGCTGGTATAGTGAAATCGGTAACACTATATCACAAAATCTTCGAATGTTGCCTGGGGATTTTGCGGGGGGTAGCTATATTTTTAAAAGTTTGGAACAGAGGTCATCTTTTTTTCTGAGTCTGGTCAGTGCCTATAATCAGATCCTCCTCTAAGACTATTCCTAAGCATAGTATTAAAACAAAATAATACGCAGTGCAATTCCTATCGTATGTACATTTTGGTGCACTAATTTCAGAGCAGCTTCTCCTTTTTGACTACTGCACAAAAGTACCTCAGATATCAGATATTAACATTTCCTTAACTTGGAATAAAACCCGGGCTCACGCAGTTGGTTTCCGCTAACTTCACTGAGGGCCAGGATCTCACCCTCACTGTTTAAACAGCATGTTATTCAATGTTAGTGCTTAGTTAGATTCAGTTGTCTCTGTCACTTTATTTCTCAGTCGTCAGTCATTTTTCTTGACTGATGCCTTACTATCAGAAAAAATACAACAATTTCATTTGTCGCAAGTTTGGCATGGCAGTCTTTCCTTTCTTTGTTTCTCATCTGAGCCCTTTGGCATAGCCTAACTTATACAATAGCGTTAAAAACTGTGCATTCTTAATCTCTAAAGTTAGAATCAAGAAAAATATGTGTAATCTGTACATTTATTTTCACTGAGTCACATGCTGGCCTATAAATGCTTCACATAATTTTAACATGAAAATCACTTGATTTTTTTTAAACTTTACAGTAAAAATGATAAGTGAAAGCCTTTGCGGCATTTTTTTTAAATTCATATATATATAGTCAAAAATCAGATTCACTTCAGCACTACAGAACCAATCAGTATTAGAATGGGGATGTGAACGTTTGCAATTCTTAAATCATATAGATCATTTCACTACTTGCCTTACCTTCTCCCTGTATATCTGTCTGCTAGTTGTTTGGTAATGAGATGACTGAGGACCGAGCAGAGAAGGGGTCACCTAGAACACAGCACCTCCTTCAAGGCCTTTATGTGCAATAATTGAAGTAACAGTATTACACAGTTGCAGTAAAAATAATAGATTTTCCAACATTTGCTCTTAATTATCTTTCCAATGGCTAAATTTGGGGCTTTTTTCAACCATAAAGAGAACTGAGATAAAATTTTCAAATATCTAAAAATTTGTGGAATTCCCATTTTTTAAGATATATGGATACTTCAGTTAGGTCTGTGCTGTACCTTTGGCATGGGTGCGAGCTGTGCTCAGGTCCTAACTTGCCTTGCAGCCAAGCTACCTGGATCTACACTTGTATACAGGAATAAGCTTTAGGAAAGCTTCAGAGAAAAGGGGCAGAGACATTTGAGCCCAGAGTGCATAGGCCAGACATGACCTGGGTTATTTTCAAAAGCAGGACCCGAGCTGTCAAAGACACATAAGCACTGCATTCATGCCATACTTTTTTGCTTGAAGTCAGAACACTGGGAACACAGGAGTGACAACATAAAACCACATTTTAATTGAGCCTCAACTTTTCATTTCCTATATAATTTAGAAGCACTTTCTGGTAAATACATTACACAGTCGTCAGTTTTGCAGTATCACCTGCCTGTGTTCAAACAGATATCTGTACGTAGAGGCCATGCTGAGCTCTCCTAACAGACTAGTACACAAAACTGTGTGACTTTACTGTCAAAATTAGAGACAAAACAGCCTTTCAAAACAGCAAAGTTCTTTTGTGAAAACACAAGACAATTCTGTTAGGTCAGGGATTTCGATCTCTGGTCCTCCGAACCTGCAAGGAGTCAATGACGATGACTGATACAGGCAAGCCTATTGGCAGTAGAGCTCCTTTCACTAAGCAGGGGTCCACTACTCCACAAGGGA